AAATATCCTAATTAACTGGCTAAAGAGACCTAAACCTAGCTTGACCTGAATGCAACAACCTAGAATCTGCTCTCAAGGAACAGAGTGCTGTCCAAATGTCTTCTTTTCCAAAATATTTCTGGTATTTTCCTTCCTTTTTAGAGGAGATTAAAAAGAAAAATAGTCCTGGGTGTTGCTTCAGTCATGACAAGCTCAGACACGTTTGTTTTCAGTTGTGGAGTAGAGCGAGGATACCACACCAAATATCTGTCTCCTCTATTCTGGGCTTTACTGTTTGTTTGAACAGCTCAGTCCGACACCATAGAGCATCTCTCACTCTGTCCCTCAATCTTACGTCCAAGTATTTCTTTTTTCTTTTTTTTTTAAAGCTTTTAGCTTTAACAGACCAGCGGACAACTCTACTTTGCTGCTTTGAGTGCGGGTTTGCTGGCTGACAATCCAGAGTGCAGGATGACACCTGAAAGCCTTTAATTACAGAGCACAGCGTGTCTGTGCCAACCCTCAGCAAACTGCCTTTAGAGCTACGCTGCCGTTTGATTCACTGACCTCATCCTCATCAGGTTCTTTCTTATTCTAAATTGCACCGCTTCTAGACTACAAACAACATTCCCAACAGGTGTGCGTTTCATGGTTTTCAATGGTTGCCTGTAACCACGTGACACCATTAAAACCGTCTGACTGTGTGTATCCTCTGCAAGGTCCAGCTTGTACAGTAAGAAATCTGGTGACAAACAAGGGGACACGTAATCTGTAGAGATATCATCTCTATGAGATAGATTTTTGCCCGCTTTTATTCTGGGTCAGTCCAATCTAGTTTTCCCTCTGGCTTCTTTCTACTTTTGTCGGTATCAGCAAGTTGTTTTTTGTTTGTTTGTTTGTGTTTTTAATTCTTTTGGGGCTTTTTGTAAGCTAAAAAAAACATGACTCCCATGTGTTAAAGCAAATAGCCATGAAATGATAAGATAAAAAAAAATCTTTGCATATCTCTAAAACTGCTGAATTACGCCTTCAACCGGATTGTAATTCAGCCAGACCTCTGATAACTCCTTATCAGAGGTCTGTACCAACCCCATTCTTGAGTACAAGGACTCTTTTATGAAATAATGAAAACTGAAAACTACAGTGGCCTTGAATGTGTTTTATTTTAGCTTCTTTTGGCCACACATTTCCATTGTTAAGCCTTCTCAAGGAGAGCCTTTAGGCTGCACACTGCTGGGATGGCAGAGCTGGCATTTGTGTTGATCTTCCAAGTTTGAGATTGATGTCCACCGTGTCATGCTCTGCTCCTCCTTTGGTTTTCTGAACCTGGCTGCAGAAGAAACTCCTTTGTCCGTGTTGCCCCGTTGCCTTGTGACTTAGCTCGTACCGCCACAGTAAATCTGGGGCTTGTTTACCCTGGGCTCTTAACAGTGTGCTTTAGGAGGCGGATAGCTACCCAGCAGCCAATCGCTCAGCCCGCTCTTTATGTGCTGTTGGACTTTAGGAGAAAAATGGGTGGATTCTGCTGCATTTTCTCTGAAATATGATACTTGCTAAGGTGCTGCTGTGAACTGTATTTCTCAGCCACTCTGAATTTGCAAGCTGGCACCTTGCAGTGATCTGTTAGTAACCACACATGCACACACTGGACCCATTCAAAGTGAATATAGGGGTTGAGAAGATTATACATGCCATTTCGGGGGTCTGCTCTTTAAGGAATATTAGCGTCAATTAGATCTTTTTTTTGTAAAAGTGGGAAAATGTGTAAAGTTTCAGAATATCAGGAATATCACTTCCTATTAGTGTCTTATGGGTGAGTAATTTTAGTTTTTTTTTAACATGATTCGTCCGTCACCTTCTTTTTTTTTTTTGCTGCCCAAAGTAAGTGCAGCGGATAACTGCATTAGTTAACAAAACTGTCACAACAAGCAGCTGATGAAAGATTTTTTTAAAGCATGGTATGTTAATGAGTTACGATAATGGATGGATGGATGGATGTTATGTATCTACCTTATTCCATAACCCAAAACCACTTTATGACAAGCATCTGATGGACATCTACATCATGTGTGTGTATTATCCTAGTTGGCTGTGACTATGAAACCATGAGTTGTAAGAAATGACAGACTGAAGGAAAGGACAATTACAACTAAGATGAGATACCCGTTTAGTTTTTCTAGAAATTATATTATGCTAATTAGGCTCAGAGCAGGAGATGCATAACATAGACATGGCTCCTGCTGCCACACGGATGCATTGCATTTATCTCTCCTGGCATATTGCTTTGGTCATCTTTCATCTGGGGCAGAAGGAATGGAGCAGTCTCTATCGGGCGTAATGCTGCATTCTGTGTACCTCAGAAGTTGCCTACAAGACCCACAAACAGTGTAACATTTGACTGAAATTGAGACAAAAACAAACGTTTTTGTCTTGGTAGTGTAAACTGCAGAAAATCCAAACTGGATGGAATTTTCTCTTTATGTTTTTTTTATCTTTATGCTAGTTTAAACTTGCCACACATCATCAACCAAAACCTGCAGCCAGCAGCATAAACTGGAAAATAATCAGAAACGGGGAAAACATCTGCAGAGGAAATAGAACAGCACACCCTTCTTCTACTGGCACTGAGAGTTTGCTTTGAGAGGAGTGGACGTGTCACCAGGGAACGTGTTGAAACTTATTGTGAGTGTTACTCATTCCACCTGTCAGTGGTTTTAATGTTGTTTCTGTATGATCCATTGATGGGGAGATAGGTGACGGTCCTTTTCTGTATTTCTCTCTTCACATCGTATTTTCAGTGAGTGAGTTTTCTCTCTATAAGAATAGCAGCTCTGTGATTTAATTTTTAAATCACAGAGCTGCTATTAATGAAATAAATTAAGTAAAGCATCTGCTGTCTGAAATCCTCAGTGATCTCATTTCTTCCTGCCATCTTTAGCTGCACTCGTTAAGAAAGGAAAATCACAATGAATGAACGTAGTCAAAACTGTGCCGAAATTCAATTTGATGTAATTAATTGCTGAGAGGTATTATCCCTGTGGAGCAGCCACTCTTGTTAGTGAATGCGGTGAACTCTGATTGTGTTTCTTTAGCTGTAAACTGTCTCCAGATTATTCATCCTTTAATCTCTTCCCCTGTGTTCCCTTACAACCATGGACAAGTGTGGCGAATGCACTCAGTTTGACTTCTAGGCTGAAATTTCAAGAGGGCCGCGGCGCTAACTAATTTACCATGTTAACACCAGCGATAAAGCAGCCGTGTGGACGGTAGGTGTGATGTGGCGAGCGCTGGCAGAGGTTCAGAGCCAGACGTGGTGACAGCCAGCTGATTAAACAGCCCTGTGATGAATGGAACTGGAGCCCGGCTGTGAAATGGCCTGCTGTTGCTGCCACTGTCTGTGGAAGGCCGGCGTTCAGCTCCAGGCGCGTCGAAACACTCCGGCGACTAGCCTCAAAAGAGCGGTAAACTTCCAAAGGAGCCTCTCTCTACTGGCGGGCAAAAGGAATGAGGCACGCTGTGACTTTTCAGTATGAAGGAGCTGCGGATCGCCGTCAGCCCCGCCCTCCGCTCTTATCACAAATCCGAGGTGGAGGGCTTCGAATACTTTGTTTCTTCACAGTTCGACATCTCAATCCAGTCTGCCTGGTTACCACAGCTCCCTCCGAGTCCCCTGACCTTCAGCCCGCCCCCCCGCGACGTAGCCTCTGCCTGCTCTCTGGGGGAAGTTTCATGAGTTTGCTTTGCGCCGCTCATTATTCCTTTGTCTGTCTAACAGACTGTCACTGTGATTTATGTCAGTTTTAATATGCCGGAGAAAGGCCGCATCTGATTCAAACGATTGTCCAAAACCCATGGGAGCCATGACAATCAGGCTGTGATATGCCCCCCCCCCCATTGAGACAAGAGATGGCACTCCTTTGTATGCCAGTCGCAGGGTCTACCGAGTCTGAGGATATTTATGATCTTTAAGAGCATTTAAGGGCATTTTAACAGACTTCGTTTACCTTTTTGAAAACAACCAGTACTTCTTTCTTCACTACCGAGGCAAACTTTCCTGTCTTTAAAGGCCTGTGGATGACAGTAAGAGAAACTTTTTTTAATGACAGGACCCACTCTTCATTGACTCCAGATGTCGCAGCGTTTTAAAGAGAATGAGGTCTGTTGATCTGGAAAGGGCCAGAGATTCGAATCTGGACGAGATGTGGCTTGTGCAGCTGGCTTTCACTCCCAGAAGGGGAAGATGATCATCTGCCAAAGTGCCCCGAGTGTTAGATGAACCATTTGTTTGAGAGCATATTGAAAAGTTTAAGTCACGGGTTGTAAACATTTATTGCACTTTTCTGGCTGCATTTGCATACTGTTCCAATGCACCACCTGGTGTGCTCCAGATAAACAAACCGCGGGCGTCGTTTTGTTCATTTATCTATTTATTTATTTATTTGTTTATCTATTTATTGTACTTGCTTCAAACTGCGTGTGCTGCTCGTACGTGGCGTGGGCTATAAGTGGTTTAACTGCAGCAAATATTTGTGTTTACAGCTTCGAGCTTGTAATCTTATTTGGATAAGCAAATGGAGTCTTTGACCCCTCGTGTTTTGGCACGGGAGGGCCGCGGAGTGTGTTCAAATATTTGGAACGGGACCCAAGAGATAAACATTTACAAAGATGGTCAAAAGCTGGAAAAAGTTGCGAGTATGTAAACAGGGGCCGTGCAGATTTAATATTTTGTTTATCTGCCGGGTCCTCCGAGTATCTAACGGTTGATGTACTGTGAATGCAGCACCTCTCTAGAGACTGCTTTGACTTCTTTTTTTTTTTTTTACATGTACGTCATACAGGAAGTACAGCAGAAAAATGATCACCTAATATTCTGGAATACTTGGTTTGAAAAAATCAATGAATGTCAGGGTCACAATTCAGTGCAGTGAAGAGAGGCCTCTGAGCTGTTTGGTTGCTCCCATAAAAGGAGATCAAATTTGCTGTTCATCACTGGAGTTATTTGAAGCTGCAGGGACGGGGCGATGTGTGGGCGCGGTAACTCATTTGACTTATGGTCCAGCATTTGGTCGGGGAGATCTATTTGAAAGGGCTGCCGAAGGGAAGAGACTTGAGTCGAGTAGCCGTTTGCCCTGCTGCCAAAACATAGTAGAGGAAAGAGTCTCATCCTTTTGACAAACAGGGAACATATTTACATCACGTTTAGAGAGCAGATATTTTCCTCTCCCTTTGCGATCCTCTAATTTAAGGTTAGAGGAGTTAAAAAGGTGAAGGAAACGGATTCCTGAACAGATGTTTAGGGGGACTTTATTCAGCTTTTCTGTGGTGGATGCCATCACCTTTGGAAAACATGATTTGGTTTTCTGCAGGATCTTGTAATAAACCACACAGCTTCACTTTTTTGTTTTCAAAGTAGTACATTGTTGAAAGATTCCAGTCTTCAATGATAATGGTTTACGTAACAAAGTTGTGGTGGCTCGTGAATACTTGTAAGTGAAACAGATTCGGGATCATCATGACAAGCACAAACATCCACTATTCTCAGAAAGGAAGGATGAGACGGAGAAAATCTGTATCTTGGACCGTGCACATCAGGACACAGCCTGTTCTCTTCTGTTCGATCCCGCTGTGTGATAATAATCTTCTTCTGCCTCTCTCTCTGTGTTTATCTTTCTACTTCATCCAGATGCAAAGGAGAGATCGGCCAAGAGGTTCTCGGTGGACGGCGTCTTCAATTACACCTCTCTGCTGCTGAGCCAGGAGGACGACCTGCTGTACGTCGGGGCGCGGGAGGCGCTGTTCGCCCTCAGCCTGTCCGACATCGGCAAGGCCAAGCTGCAGAAGACCGTAAGCCCCACTAAATGATAAACAGATTATCAAGAGTCGGCCTCACAATCTGTCTTTACAGGCTGAATTTCAGGTTCACGAGAGATGTGGAAAGTCTGACTAGCAGATGAGGTTCAAAGTTCAGAATCGGGGTGGTTGGGCTTCAAACGACTTACTCGGGTTTTCCTGTTCTCATCCAGCTGACGTGGGGCACTCCGGGTGGAAAAAGAGAGGAGTGCAGCTTTAAAGGAAAGAACCTGGAGGTGAGTCTTTTTTTTTTCTTCTTCACATCAGTTTTATGAATACAGCATCATGTTTGGCAGCCGCCTGTTTGTTTCACATATGAGCCGGAGAAAAGAGCCGAGTTTCATGTTGACAAAACCTTCCCGGCAGTTACAAACGGGTTCATCAGGCGTGCGCGCTCACTGAGGGAATTGCTCTTTCTCCTCCAGCCTGTCTGTTACCTTGTTGTCATGCCAGCTGTTGTATCCCTGGGTGAGGCGCCTGGGTAATGGGCGCGCTGCGTACAGCTCTGGCATATGTACTACACAGAGCTCTACAGGCAAACTGCTGTGTGATGCCGGGAGCTTTCCCCAGCCGAGTTTGAGCAAAAGGGGAATACTTTTAAAAACACATTCTGTCAAACCCTGTGTGAAGGATTTGTGGTGCTGTCTTTATCTCTTAAAGATTTATTTTTGATCATACTCAACCTGAGGTTTCAAGGAGCTTTCAAGGAAATCAGTTCAGTTCTTAGAATTTCTTGTAAGTTCCTGGACCTAACATCCATGATTTGTTCCCATCCAGACTGATTGCTTCAATTATATCAAGATTCTCCTGCGGCTGAACAGCACTCATCTCTATGTGTGTGGCACCTATGCCTTCAGTCCCGTCTGCGCCTACATAGTAAGTATTAACATTTCAGTCTGCTTGTTGAAACGCAGACACTTCTTCTCCTTTCATCATTTACCAGAAACTTTTGATCCTTTTCCCGTTCCACTCCCTTTTAAACAGCAGGTTTTGATGTGTTTTTTTTTTGGGCTGAGACTCTTTAGTAGAAGCCAACAGGGGGTACAGTACTGTGTGGTTCCCAGAGAGAGGGAAGACTACTTCTACATCTGTTTATCTAGCTGATGACTGCATCTGGAGTGCCGGTAACCATAAACTAAGACTGGCTCCACAGATAGAAGGGAGCTTGAAGACTGCGAAACGGGGTATTAAACTCTCCCCCTTTGACGTCAGAGTTAAAAGAAAAACACAAAATGTTTCTGAACAAAGATGACTTGGCAGGACGTTGGGCCCTGAACTGGGATTCCATCCTGAGCCCTGTTGGCCATGTTGACAGAGTCCACCACTCTGTGTGTACGTGTCGGCCCCAGCATTCCTACCAGCCAGACGCTCTAATATGTATATTATCAAGATTGATAAATGTTTTGTTTTTCTAGCTCTTCTCAAAACAGTCCCAGCCGGGTAACAGGACACTGAGGCTCAAAAGAGCCACCAAGAGGACAGATATGTATTAAAACAAGCTCTAAGTAAAACAACATCAATTATAACGAAGCAGCATGAGCATGTTATCCAGGCAGCATAGGCATTTTATAATGCCTGTCGTTTAGACGTTTGGCTAGTTGAACAAGTTCTTTCTGCTAATGCCAAAGGTCCGGCCTCTCCCAACATAATGATTTCATTCCATTATGTTCGTTTGTTAATGATGATCTGAATTGCTCTTCCTGTCAATATGGGCAACAAAGAGATTCAGCTATGAAACTGTTTTTGGTTTAAATGAAGAGCAAGAAAGTTGCTGCTTCATGCAGAGACTCACAACTGAAACATATTTTCTTGACTACATTTACACAGAAGTGTACATATGGCATGTGGAGTTCTCCTGTTTAGCTCAACACTCATTTGTTGAGGAACAAAAAGTGTTAAGACTGTGACCAGGAAGATTATTGGATTGGTCTTGTCTCGTGGATTAGTTGCTAATAATGAATATGAAGAATAATCTGATTTATCTTTTAGCATCTGTTGTGACAGACGGACATCGTCAAAATGAACAATCCATCCAGATGTTCTAACTGAAAAACTGGCATGCGACGCCCAAAAAAGCTTAGGCCTAATAATCAGCCAGAGTAACATTAGAGTACGCTCAGAGTGACCGGACTCCAAAATGCCGTTGAACTGTGTGGATTATAATGGAGACAATGAACTGGAGGCTGCTGGGCTCCCTTTAACTCCCTCTTTCACCCTAAGTAGGCTTTTAATTGGACTGTGCCTGAGGGACGTTTGCTGTTTGTCCCCAGAACACGTCAACGTTCACGCTGGAGAGAGACGAGGTGGGCGAGGTGGTGATGGAAGATGGGCGAAGCCGCTGCCCTTTTAATCCAGAGTACAAATCCACCGCCATCATTGTTGGTAAGTCGTTACACACACGCTTACTACGAATGGCTTCCACTTGGGAAGAGAGAGGTTTTTTTGAGGCTGCTTTGATGTTTGCTGCCTCTTTGATTCAGTAATGAGTCATGATGTGGCTGCTAATGTTGTTTGTCTGCATCAGACTCTCTAATAAATAACCGGACACAAACAGACACTGTTTGTCTTCAACTTCTTTAACAAGCAATTAGTATATAATTGAAGTGGATATGAGGAGGAGGGACTCTTATCCCTCACTCACTCTTCTGTTATGGTGCAAACAGCTCTTTTCATTACTGACTTCATATCCAGCTTTTAACTTCTTCATAATTGCTTGGTTTGTTTATGGCTGATCGACTTTGGTCTTGGTCTTTTTCTTTTGTTTCTCTTCCAGATGGTGAGCTGTATACTGGTACTGTCAGTAACTTCCAAGGTAATGAGCCGGTCATTTCCAAAAGCTTGGGACAAGGAACCGCACTGAAGACAGAAAACTCCCTAAAATGGCTGCAAGGTAAACCCACATGTCTACCTTTTTAGACAAAAAAAAAAAAAAGAAGATGTCTAACAATGTCAAAACAGATAAGCTCCATGAAGTAGCCATCATTAGTAAGGCCCATTCACTAATGCTTAAAGATGAAGAGAAAAAAACAATCTCCCGTAGATGGCAGGAGCCTTGGCCTATCAGCTACCACACATGCACATCAAAACAGCCTCAGCCGACTGCCATCGCTTCCGCCAGAGTAAACCCCACTTTCCACGCAATTAGGGCCTCTCTTGCCTTTTTATCTCTTGGTAATCCATGCAAGGTGCTCCTGATGAGACATCTGAGTAGAATTATGTATAAATCTGGTCCCCCTCGGCTTTCGTGAGATTGTTTGACCCAGCACTCTGCTGTCCTCTGTCAAAGTGTACGATGATTCAAAATTGACCAGAAATGCTACGTGTCTTCTGCCCTTGACAGATCCAGTCTTTGTCGGGTCGGCTTACATCGAGGAGAGTCAGCCAGTGGGCAACCCTGTGGGGGACGACGACAAGATTTACTTCTTCTTTAGCGAGGCGGGAAAAGAATTTGACTTCTTCGACAACACCATCGTGTCCAGGATTGCTCGCGTGTGTAAGGTAAGACCGGTGGGGAAGGGCTGAGGTGACGACAGCAGGGCTCGTCCGTCCTGTCCTTAATCCGGAGACAACTGCCTCAGAACAAAACGGGACGCTCCCCGTGAAAAGCCCTGTTTGAGAACGTTAGGCGGTGTGTCATGTTATGCCAGTTTGGGTGCACTGGGGGAAAAAATGTGGCTGGTGCGTTAAAGGTTTTTCTATTAGACTGTTCAAACATGTTTTCAGCAGATTTTGTTTTCCTCTTGTCTGAATCATCACCTCCCTCCCCTTCCCGTCCTTTCCTTCCCTCCCGTTTCTCTGCAATGTCATATTCCCCTCTCCTTCCATCTCCCTCACAATGTCAGCTGCACTCGTCCATCCCACCAGCTCCTCGTCTTTCTCCACCAGCCCTTTGAGCTTTGCAGGCATTATTAGTATTCAAGGGTGCTTCGCAGCAAAATGAAATGCCTTTTTCCTCGCTGCTATACAGCCTGTTTTTTGTTGCAGACAAATTATGCAAACTGTGCCAACTGCAGTTGTCTCTCTGGTAGTTTAAGTAATCTAAGCCAGCCCTCTTTCCCACCCTCCACTAGAGTTTATTTTGGTCGATCAACCTCAGTGATCAGCCGCAGACTTTATCCCTTCTCACCTGTTATGAAATCAATTAAACTGCTATGAAACTGTGATGTGCATGCACTCGGCGTCCCTCCCCGGCTGATGCCTCCTGTGCACGGAAGCGGTAATGTGAGTAATCGTGGGGACAGCATGTAATCTCAAGTGACAGCTTAATGATTTAGTCCTGCAAGGCTCGGGCACTCTGTGCTGCGACACCTCTGGCAGCCGGCAGAGCGCCTCCTGGGTTCTATATATGGAAATCAGACAGAAAGGCCCACACTGTGGCAACTTGCTGCAGTTTAACTGTGCACTAGAGGCAGAAGAATAGCCTCTCTGCCTTTTAAAGCGTCCTTTATTTCACTGGAATGCAGCAGCTCCTCCTTTTTTTGCCCGACATCTTTTCAGACGCTGCTTCAGAACGGTACAGGCGTGCTGCATCGGGTTTGCTCTTAAATGCACTCGGTCAGGGCTTAAGATGAGAAAACAAACCCCTGTCAGTTACAGCAACCCCGCTTTGTGTCCAGCTGCGAGCTGTAGAATCACTGCTGACCCGATGAAGGAAAAGGGGTGGACATAAATCCACCCTTTGTGGCTTGTAGGGAGAAGTGATGTCTGGACACTGATTGCAGCAATGGGTCTCCGAGGGCCTCATCTGTTCATTATGAGCTCTGTTTGACAGCAGCTGTTGGAAAGGTGAGCTGTGAAATTGGTGGTCAAATCACAAAGAGGATAGTTATAAAATGCATGTTTTCCTTTTGCCTCCTGCACTACGGCTCACCAGCGGGCTGACCTGGCACCAGGGTTAGGTAAAACCGAGGTATGAGGTCTCCTCCCTGTCAGCAAGCTCCAGATCTAACACACTTATGTGAACTGACAGAAAGAACACACTCTCTCTTCCTTTTTCCACGGCCAAGTCATCCAATGATATTAGAATGTGGATTTATTTGATATCTGAATCGTGGAAGGTGTTTGGGTTCATCCTGGCGTACGCTCGGAAAGAGGACACGCTTCTCGTCAGATAGAGTAAATATAAAATTGAAGTGTTTTTTTTTTTTTTTTCAATGGTATTCCGACTACTGCTTTACTTGAGTTTGCCAAGAATTCCTGCTTCCGAGTTGTTTTTTTTCTCCCTCCTTTTCCTATCTGGCCCCCTCCCATCTTCCACTCCCTCTGTCTTGTGTTTATTCAGGTGTGTTCACTCGGGGCCTGGGGAAGGCAGGCAGATTAGCAACACGGTGCGGGACCATTTTTTCCCCCTGCCTCGTGTTCACCTACTCTCGAAGTTCATAAACATAAGGAATCTTAAGTGGGATAAGACGTACGGGAGGCGGATAGCGTAGCGCAGAGAGGCGCTCTGGAGGGCGGCTATCGGAGGGGAGTGGAGTTGGCGATTTGAAAGTACAAGCTGGGCGGCGGAGCACAGCAACAACAAGCAGTGGACAGCTGAGGGAGCAGGAATGCGGGCTCCTCATTATATGGACAGGCTGCCAGAGCAGCCCCGTAATTGGCTCCCAGGCCCCGCATAAGTCCCTCAAGGGTTCGGTTCAGTTCCGAGCACGGCGATTGGCTGTTGTGTGACAGCGCACAAAAGGAGGAGGTTGATACAGTTTTGAGCCTAATCTCCTTAAAGGTGATTCACTCTTTATGCTGTTATGAAAGAGTTTTTTTCTGGGTTTTGAAGGAGCTGCTCTTGGGTTAGTATGGCTCTGATGCAGAGTGATTGCCTTGAGATTAGGCGCGGCCACTTGTTTTGGTCCTCCTCCTCCAGCTCCTCCTGCTTTTTCCTGCTCGCTGACAAGGAGTATGCAAGGGAATGCGTTTTTACAAGTGTTTTGATCATTGCTAGTAATGGCCAACTCATCTGACAACTGTTAATGGGAATATTTTGTTGTCTTGAAAGGGAATAAAAGCCTCATCTGTGTGTTACAGGAAAAATATGAGCCACTGATCCTGATTTAAAAGCAGTAATTAATAACTTAATGTTTGTTTTTCCATTTCCACATCTCGACTCCTTTTAAAGAAGATCTGATACTTTGAGCTTTGGCATCTTTTTTATGTGGAGAGTTGCTTTGCCTTTGTTTTGTTTTGTTTTTTTAACATATTTTATGTGATTCAGTACCACCACAGGAAAGAATTTCAACACATTAAATTGCCCAAAGACTTGAAATCCTGCTTCAGATTACTGTTTGTTCGGTTTCTTTTATTGAAGAGGTCACGAATGGTCACAGTAACCAATATTTTCCCTTATTTGACCTCAGCTTTACCCTCTAAAACAAAATAGATTGACTACAGCAAGATACAAAAAACTTTTTTTTTCCAGTAGGAGTTCAAATGCAGCATAGAATATTTGTTGATATTTAATGGTCTGTTTAGGACTTCTTTCTGTCTGACCAAAGTGGAGCTTTGTCTTGAAATGCTACACATTTACTCATAAAGCTTTGAGACAACTGAACATGGCTTAATTTGCATCTTCTTTCATTTTCATTGTACGAGTGTCCCTTTTTATGTTTTTTTTTTATTCAAACTTTAATTAGAAACTGTGCCAGGGAGCTAGATCTAAAGGCCCTTTTTGTCTCTAAATCTCTTTTAGTAGCTGTTCAGGTTGGCTTCTAACAGTAAATGTAGAATCCAGCTGAGCCCTTACTTACAGTTAGCTCACCCACTCCTGTTTCTGGAAGTCCTGGCTTGTTGAGTGCTGATTCAGAGGTTGTGACATTTTTTACGCAGCAGCCGCAACCTCTCCTGCTGAGATTGGATTTTCAGAGTCAACCTCCCACCCTTTGCTTCTGCGCACCTGGTTGTGAAACTCACTCCTCTTGACCCTTATCTGCACTTGCTGATGGATCATTAATTGACCTGTATCAACAGTCAAAATGAGTCAAGTCTTTGATATTTTTCAACATGGTGAATCCTGATCTCCTCTCAGGGCGACAAGGGAGGCGAACGAGTGCTGCAGAAGAAATGGACCACTTTCCTGAAGGCTCAGCTCCTGTGCTCCCTCCCTGACGACGGCTTCCCCTTCAACATCATCCAGGACATGTTTGTCCTGAAGCCCATGGGAGACAGCTGGGAGAGCACGGTGTTCTACGGCGTCTTCACCTCTCAGTGGTGAGAGACGAGTGTAGGAAGGGCTTCAGGCTGAGACCACGCTGTATATTGGCTGTCCTATATGTCCCTGTAGCGGCTCATTCTTGGGCCTCTGAAACACCCCACAAGATTGTTTTAGGTCACGCTGTCAAATGCTGTTTTCTCAACACAAGTAAAACTGTGCGTTTCTCCTTTTGTTTGCAGGTATAAGGGGGCATCGGGAAGCTCGGCTGTGTGTGCCTTCAGCATGGCTCAGGTGGAGCGGGCCTTCAGCGGCCGATACCGGGAGGTCAACCGGGAGACCCAGCAGTGGTACACCTACAACCACCAAGTGCCAGAGCCACGGCCCGGGGCGGTGAGTCAAAGAAGCAGCATCCTGTTATTAATATAATTTGGGACAGTACAACTTGTTTTGAGTCAGTTTGTCTATTCAAGTGACATCAGAGGAACATTAGTCACACGACTGCTAGAACAAAGCGATGTCAGACTGTCTGGAGTACGTGCTTTATCATCAGAGGTTCTGAAAGTACATTATAGGCTTCTGCTACATAAATATATAGCCTGTGTGGTAGGCTTTCGTGTCTGTCACTCAAACACATTATCCAAGAGGGCTGTTTGAGGATTGTGTTTACTAATGAATAGCACCTCATATATATAGATATATATGTATGTATATGCATATATGTATATATGTATATATATACTGTATAATGTGCACTTCCAGGGCTTTTTGATTTATCAGAAATAAATAGTTTTTCTAATTTCTTATTCATTCCTTTTCAGTGTGTGACCAACCATGCCAGGCAAATGGGCATCCAGTCATCGTTGCACATGCCTGATAAAGTGCTCAACTTTGTCAAGGACCATTTCCTGATGGACAGCGTGATCCGCAGCGCTCCGCTGCTGCTGAAACGCAGCGTGCACTACACACAGATCGCCGTCCACAAGATCCAGGGCATGGAGCGGGCCTACGACGTGCTGTTCATTGGGACAGGTGCGGCCTGTCGCACAGAACGCTGTCACAGAAGGAAACGCGGTGATTTATGGCTCGCTGCTATTCACTGCCACGTCTTCTCTGTTTCTCACAGATGATGGAAAGCTCCACAAAGCCATCAATGCCAATGATAAGATGCACATCATAGAGGAGATGGTTCTCTTCGCTGAGCCTCAGCCCGTGCAACACATCGAACTCGATCCTCAGCGGGTAAATGAAATCACTTGTATCGTTTAACTCAGAAAATAATTACTGTACAGTTACTACAAATTAATTTGCATATGTAATGGTTACTCATTTATCTCAGTTTGTATCAAATGTTAATTTACGGTTGTTAGTTTTCAGTCAATACATTTTGGAAAAAGAGCCCTGGGACTGCAGATATTTGGCTCCACGGGGTGCAGTTACAGCACTGTCGAGAGCTGACTTTATTGTCCTCTCTGGTATCTTACCCAGAACTAAATTTGATTACCTTTTCTCCTTTTATTTCATAAAGATCTCTCTCCAAGCCAGTCCTGGCAAATTGCAATCTTATCTGCCATTATGTAATTCTAATGAAGTCTTAAGATTCTCTGTGCGGGTATATATTCCTAACTCCAAATAGGGGCATGAAAGAGTAAGATGCAATCCACTTGATGTCTACCTAATGTACAAGCAGATAAGCTGCCCTAAAAATAGACTGCTTGAATGCACCATAGGGAGTGGAAAGTCATGTGTTAAACACATGTCGACATGAAGAGTCTACCAACTCCAGGAGAATAAATAGAATTAGTTTTGTAGCAAATTCTGTTATTATGAACACATGTTTGGGAACAGGTTTTCACAAAGTTTAAATTACTCAGCTGGTTTTAAGACGACAAGCATCTGGCCAGAATTAGTCCTTTGTGCAGGTGATACTCTTCTGTTCCTCCTAAGTAATTGTTTCTGCATGGTTTCCCCTTTTTGAAATCAGAAACCCGGCACAAGAAGCACAGGGGCCTCTTCTGCCCTGAGCTCACCTTTTGGATTGCACACACACTCACAGATGTTTCATGTCCTCTCCAGGGTCTGTTGTTTGTGTCGTCCTACTCGGGCTTGGTGGAAGTACCAGTGGCCAACTGCTCCAACTACCTGAGCTGTGGCGAGTGCGTGCTGTCCAGAGACCCCTACTGTGCCTGGACCGGGCGGCTGTGCCGGGATGTCAGGATGGCTCCACCGGACAGGTGAGGGGTCACGTAAAGCACGGGCATTGGCATGCACTGCAATGGAGTACAAAGTAAAAATCTAAATGATGTTTATTATCTACTTAAAAATTGTTCATAGCCCCTTGGCTTCTTTTTATTAGAAATTCTTTTCAATTTCTATATATATATATATGTGTGTTTGTGTGTGTGTGTGTGTGTGTAAATATATATTTATATATACGTAGGAGTGAGTGTGAGTGGTTGTTGGTCTTTGTGTGTCTCTGTGTTGCCCTGTGATGGACCGTCCAGGGTGTACCCCGCCTCTCGCCCATTGACTACTGGGATGGGCTCCCCATTAGGGGATAAGCGGTCCAGATGGACGGATGGAAGCGCTTGTGCTCCTAAATTGTGCTTATGAAGCTGTGCTCACAGACTTGGGAAGACAAAGTTCATCCATATAAGGTGCTTATTATTCCAGCTGCCTTGCCTCACCCTGTTGTTCTCCTTGGTGTGTTTTGTCTCAGCCACTGGCAGCAGGACGTGGAGGAGGCTGACACATCAGCCATTTGTAACAGGACTTTTTCCAGCCCCAGATCTGCCAGACCAGCAGCTTCTCGTGAGTGTGTTCGGTCTGCACATTGGCCTCTAATTCGAGTGTTACATTCTACTTCACACATCCCACAAACAGCATGCACGAGGACTAGATGAAACATGTCAGCTCTGAGGAAGAGCTCGGGTAACAAGTCTTACAAGTCCGTTGTTGGCGTCTTGCCCTTACACGACAGCAAACTCAATGGAAAATTTCAACATTGTGGAAAATTTGCTTGTTGGCCTTCATATGTGGTCAGAGTAGTTTTATACAATTCACATATTCAGTAACATGCTGAAGTCTTAATCCAACCCTCATTTCTTCATAGCTCGCCTCGTAGCAGGGACAAGTGTCCCTGAGCAACAGTCGTCCAGGCTTTCCGAGTGTTGTTCAAACACTATTTGTCTTTCCACCGTGGTCGCTTTTTCATCACCGTTTTCAAAGGAGTGTGTCTTTTGTTTCTTAAGCCACTTAACACGGAACTGTGAGTCAGTAAAGCATAAAGAAGCCACTCAACTCAATAGATGAACCAGATTTCAGTCTACGCATCACAAATTACATAACAAAAAGCCAGCAGCCTGTCAAAAAGACCATCATTTATTCCCTTTTCTTTTAATCTATAGAAATGCCAAAAACGGTACTATTACTTGAAAACTTGATATTATCAAGTAATTATCAGTAAAACTGACATTGTCGGCATGTGTTTCTCTAAGAATTGAAGGACACTGGACAACTGTCTGCTGTAGATAGCGGCTTTCTTTTGGCCATTTTTTAGGTATATCACTGAATAATTATAATCTAATCCAGTAAATTACCATCAGAGCCCAGACTTCAACATTGTTGAATCAGTGTGGAGCATCATGTCAGAGAACAGAACATAAGGTATCCAACGTCCAAAGGAAACTTTGGTATGTCCTTCGGAAAGCCTGTAGGACTATTACTGAAGACTGCTAATATGTATTATACAAGAAAATTGTCTAAGGTTGTTTTTAAAAATAGATTCATTCATACCAGAGAATTCAAAGCTTTGAATTGTGCAACCTGGTTGTTCTTCATGTGCTGCATTTCATGTAGAATCTTTTTATCCCTATCCAATTTTTTATTAAGACAGGAGAGATTGGGGTTTTGTACAGTTATGTAGTTGTCCGTTAAAAAAATAAGCCATCTGCACACCAAACTTTTCTCTACTTTTAACCTGCATGCATTTGATACATAAGAAAATATGTTTCATGTGGTTCAAAACCAGTTTGTTCAGCAGCTGTGAAGACTTTTTACAGTGAAACTCAAACCGTTTTCATATAAAAAATGGTTTCTAAAGTAATCACTTCCAAAAATAAGAGAGTAAACTCACCAGCATGACATTTATCCTTTCATTTTATTCTATTGAACAACTTGGTCCTTATGATGCTACTCAAGCATATTAAAGGGATTGTGGATGTTTAAGTCAATTTTCCTCTCATTTTTGTAGGTGGCTCCCATTGCAAAGTCATCACGATTCCAGCTAACACATTTCGAGTCCTACCCTGTAAGCTGCGCTCCAACTTGGCACACAGAAAGTGGCATTACAGTGACAGTGCCAGCCAGTTCCTGTACGCCACCCCTGAGGGAAACCTTGTTGTGGTGGCCCAATCCCACAAGATGGAGACTTACGAGTGCTGGTCAGAAGAGGAAGGATTCCGCCAGTTGTTGGCCAACTATTGTATTAGGGCTGAGCCTCGGCAAGAAAGCACCACTCTGATCGGTCATTCTCGCACCCCTCCCGTCGCGCAGGAGGAGACCATCATCATGCCGGGCGTGTCTCGCTCTGAGCAGGTCCACATGAAGACCTACTGGAACGAGCTGATCGTGGTGTGCGCCCTGCTGGCCTTCTCCCTCGTGGTTTTCTCCTTGTTCGTCATCTACAGGAACCGGGATCACATGAAGTCGATGCTCAAGCAGGGCGAGTGCCCCAACATGCAGCAGAAGAAGCCGAGGATTGTGGGAAAGCCAACCGAGAGCTTACCCCTCAATGGTAACACAATCCCCGTTTCTACGTCGGACCACAAAGGCTACCAGACACTGAATGACAACTACATCTGCAGCACCCCCACGCACGAGTCCTCGCCGGACAACAGCAAGAGCTTCTCCGAGTCTTCCGACAGACGGCCGCTTAACGTGAAGGAAAGCCACGTGGAATACTCCCCGACCTGCCCTCGGCCCCGAGTGAGGCTAGGCTCCGAGATCAAAGACTCCATCGTGTGAGACCACGGCGCTCGCTAAACGACAACACCCAGCATTTCCACGAGGACACAGGCCGCCGAGCAGAGGAGAGGAGCACCCGACGTCCTCCTACATCACAGCATACCTTTTGTTTCAGTCATCTTAGTTCTGTGATCAGTGCAGAGGCCATTTCATTTCACCATGTCCACTCCAAAGCCAGAGGTTGCTCCGGCTTGCTGCTAAAGGCAAGACGAGGAGGAGGAGGAGGAGGCAGCATGACACTCCGGTTTCAGCCAGGATAACCAACCATGGCAGCTGCTGAAAATAATTCTAACAGTTGTTTTTGACTCATTCTTCAGGGCACGAGCACCATATGTGTGTGAATATTTCGACTGAGTAATATAGAGGGAGAGCAAATAATAAAACTATAGACAGAGGGCCTTTTTCTGTTGCCACAGTATCTCTAGGTATACATGAGTAAATTATTCAGTCTGGATGTCTGTCTCACACAGTTACAGCAAGAGAATAGAATTCCAAGTATAAGTAATCTTGCACATTTCCTGCAGAAGGTGGCTCCCGCTCTTCTGTTATTATGCACACTACAGCCAAGCTACAGCTATATGGTGACCAATAGTTCAGGTTTAGGTGAATATTGTTCATGTAATGCCTTTTGATTATTATCTACTCATGATGAAAGCAAGTCAGACGCGCGTTGTCCTGTTTTGCTGAGTAAATGTCATCACTGTATCAACATAGAAGTGAAGAAGAATACTCCATCCAAAAGTCAGCAGTGTCAAGAGAGGCAGTCGGCACTGACGTTACTCTCCTGATGGATGGCTCCACAGAAAGCTGTGCCATGGACAGTGTAGGGAGACCCTCGTGTTCTCATCTGGGACTGAAGGTTAATGAGTGGGCCCAGTTTTCTGAGGTGAATAAGAAAAAGGAGAGATGTGACACTCCAAATGCAGAGAGGCCAGTGAGGAAGAGTAAATGGGGACATTCACACCTTTCGACATATTCAGGGCAGCACTGAAATCATCACGTGAACTGTGCCAAAAAAAAACAGGAATAACTTGATTGTCTTATCTAAATGCAATAGTGCCATCCTGTCATGACCATCTCGTACTTCGTACCAGAACTGATCACTGTTGAAGAGCACATGGTGATGGACCCAGGGTGGGGATTCACTACAAGTATTTTGGCACTAATAACAAATAAATGTGAAGTTCAAGTTGGGACTTTCTAAAAGACTGTTAGCTCTGAGAGAACTGAACTGTTTGGCAAAAATTTGATCTTCTTGTAAAAATGAACCGGGGCCAAAGGACGTGACGTGGAAGATCGATTGTCATGTGGAGGGTGAATCAGAGCTTTTTTTCTGTTGCCTTTCTGTTGTATGCTGACATACAGGTACGGCCACTTGAGGACAGCTGAGCTTGACTGGTAACCATGGAAACCTTTCGGTTTGGTTAAGTGCTTCTAATCAACATGTATAAGTCCTAGAACAACAGGCAGCCGGCGTTGCTGTGGGTAGAAAAGAGAAAAGTGTGTGGCCTCTTGACCAGACTGCAGCTCCATGGTGGTAATTAGGTATGTACAAAGAACCTTCTGTAACCTACACCCCCAGCCAGCCGGGTTACATGTCTTACTTTCATGGCATTCACCACACTCAGAGGCCAATGGGATGCTAATGTGAAAGCACAAGTAATCAGGGTTACAGGTTTGCACCTTTCAGTACCATTGGCTGATTTTTAATAATGCAACTACTGAGACAAGAAACACGTGGCGTGGCTGCTAAGAGTGGGGATTTTTAGATGCTAGTTACGACAGGGACCAGTGCAGCCATCCCACACGCTTTCACTCACAGTGCATAAAGCTTTTGAGACTTCAGCAGAGATTTCCAAAAATGTGGAAAGCTGACTGTGTTGTACAAGTAAGATTTACAACCATCAACAGGGGCCACAAGGACCACATGGCACCACATCGCCACTTCACTGTATTGGTCAACTCTTACAGTATCTGTTCCAGTCCAAGTTTAGCCTCTTCAGAGAGTGAGCGGATGACAAAATGCTACGTAACTGCTACAAGTTGATAAAGAAACTGCACAGCATACTGCGCTACAGTGGTCAGTGTTTCCTTTTTTTTTTCTGTATATACAGTACCTGTGCTTAATATTGTGTGTCTTTAAGGGACCTTGTGCAAGATGTGTTGTAGAGGTAGTCTTAAAACTAGAGTGAACACTGCTGAGTTTTTTTGTTTTGTTTTTTTCCATAGTGCTTTATTGCCAATTCAGCATACATTTCACCACGCTTTCAAATCGGCAACATCAATGCTTCTTTTATCAAGCACATCAAGACAGAGGTGTCTGTTTTGTATCCATGCCAGTGAAAAGGGCAGTTTGAAACTGATTGAAATAAGCTTATGTTACTTTATTGCTGAGAGTTCAATGAGAAGTTTGGTACAAATCATATCTGCACACTAATTCGGTTATCGAAGTTAAACCTGCATGCATTTGATACACAAAGTGTGGTTTCCTTTAGGTTTGGCTTTTTGTGTGCATGTATTTTTTCCTTTTCTTTTTAATATGCAAATGCATAGACATTGTACAAAGCAAATACCAAATAAGATAGAAAAAGTAAAGTTTTAGTGGTAGCTATTGATTGTACAGTGGTAGCTTTGACAGGTTGTGAAAGCTTAAATAAAGCTGGTGGATTAATTTGGCTCTTGTAGAGTTAAACCTTTAAAAAGGATAAGCTTTATTTTCTACTTTATGGACCGAAAATTTGGGATTCTTGGCTTACCTGTCATCCTTTTTTTTTTTGCCATCAAACCACTATGAATATGGGCCTATACCACAAGATTACACAGAGGGAAATTGAAGGCATATATTTTCTTTTAATTTAATTAAATAACTTCTTTTCCCTTTAACTTCTTTTTTACCAAACTTCTCATTCAACTCTCAAGAAACCAAAGGCTGTTTATAAGAATGTTTCCTATTGTAAATTAAGACTGAACAGATGAACCCAACAGTTTTATTTGACAACAAATGAATAACAATTTAGAATCTCAAAGGTTTTGTTTCACATCTACCAAATCAGATTTTCCAGTTTCTCTGTAACCTGTGTTGAGGTGCTTGGTGGATAACTGCACTACACACACACACACAAAAAAAAAAGCCTTTACAGTAGATATCAAGTTGGTTTGCCTTTAGCCGTGTGCCACATTGTACAGTACCCAGCAGTGACCTCACCAACAGAAAAGTGTTGAAGGACGTGATTGTAGCCCCCTGTGGGCGCACCTTACTCCACATCGCAACGCGGGTCAGTAGTGAGTTAACAGTGTCCCTAAAACCGTAGAGCCGCCACTAACTTTATCTGCATAACAGGCTGAAAGCTGCTCAACATAGTGTTGCATTCTGTAGCCTTTTACTATGTAAGAAAACTGATTGTAGAAACACAGGAAATTAGAAGTCTATTAGATATTTCTTAATCTGATATGAGAAAACTAAAGATACAATGCATTTTAACCTTACTGGACAATATCGCAAAAAAGAGAAACTGTCATAAGTGTTTGTATTTATTGATGACATGCCTCTTTTTTTCTTGCTTTTTTTTTTTCAAATCTTGGATAAAAATCAAGCGGAATAACAATAAACGATGGGTCATTTAACTTGCTCCTCAGTAATGGAACATTCTGTAGTGTATGAATGTAGCCAGCTGTGTAATTGTAGAACACCTACAGCAGTCTACTCTCTTAAAACGGCTTCAGTAGGCAAGTGGTTGCAACGTCTTTTTTAGTTTTTTCCAGGGTTTAGCTGAAATGGTCATAGCTACAAAGAAACAGCACAACAGTCGTAATTAATCATTCGTGCTGCATGATATAGTACTAAGATGCAAGCACAGCTCCGGATCCCCCGTGTCGACTCAGCCATGAGACGCAACAACAGCATTGCCTCAGCATACTGAACACCATAAGCTTAGTTTACTGAATAACTATTAGACAGATGTGGTCTTGCCTGCATGACTCCTTTTTTTTCTTAATTATTTGTTGTGTACAAATAACATTGTGAATTGTATTTTTTGTATCATTGAGATTGTGACTGTTGTTTTTATTATATTGTACATAAAAAGCACTTTATTTTCATTTTTTAAGATAAATGAATAAAATACATGTTTTGACACATGCACGTGTGCTGTGGATTACTGTGGAGTCACTTTTAATTAACTCAACAAATTAGTATCACTTTAGGTGCGAGGAACACCTGAAATATTACTTTGTTTTGTTTTACCTAGTCTTAGTTCAACAAGGTGTATAAAGAGGTGAGTGAGAAAACTGTCAACTGTTTCTCATTCATACAGATCTGTTATAAACAGAAAAGGATTTTCTCTGCCGTCACTTGCCAATTTGTTAGTGACAATGCGAGATTGAATGTCTCACCAAACACATTTCTAAAGGTGGTAAAACAGGACGAAATTGTCATCCTTTTGGCCGGGAGAGGACTGCACCATTGTGTTTCCTGTTTTACATTTTTATTTCTTTTACCAAGAGTGCCACCTGCTTTTTCTTAGTAGTTTGCTCCTTCAGCATAAACTGGTTTCCTTTGTGCACTGCCAGATCCTTTTCTTTATTTCCTGTAACGTTGCCTCCCCTGTTGGCCAGTCCTGTTGTCCCTGTTCATTTCTTTCCTGTTAGTTTTCAGTTAGTTCTTGCCTCCGCAGTGCCTCTGGTTCGTTACTGTGTCGATACGGTCTCTCTCTTTCTGCTGCCTCTGGCTGCAGGGCTGAGTCAGGCTCGGCTTGTGAGCATACCTGGTTCTCTTCACCCAAGCTTTGCACCAGTTTACCGCAATAAGCCTGACAAACAGACGGATGCAGATGAGGTGATTAATCAGCGAAAACAAGTGAGAAAATAGAACAAATGTTTGGAATTGCAGTGATTGGATTTGATTGTGATTGCAAAGAACGAAGCAGTTGCATAACAATCAAACAGAGCAATTACAGGAAGATGATTACAAATGTACAGTTTGATTTTAAATAAGAGCTCTTGGCTGGGCTTCAAACCAATTTGACCATTTTGCTTTTGGGAAGATGATTTGATAAAATCACATGTTTTAAAGAAAAAATGTTTGTAAAAATAGTCAGCTCTTATTTAGTTTCTTTTTATGGACCCACAAAGTGCCTCTTCTGAATTATGTTCAATCAATGACATTTGCTGTGTTATATCAACAAACTATTTTGTCAAATAAGAAACTTAATCTCTTGTGAATTTTTCATGAACCATGTTGACTCATTCACACTCTTGTTTTACCTAGAACCCTCATTTGTAATAGTAAAATAGTGCATAAATGAGAAAAAGGGTGGATGTGTCAAATTGCTCTAAACAGAACGAAAGGAAACAGTGAACACAAAGCAGAAAATGACTGTCAGTGTTTTAGTGAGTGAGGTTACGAATAAGCTGTGCCAAAACTGAAAGTACCCAAGGCTGAGGATGAAGGACTGTCAATCAGCATGTATGATTTGAGGTTAAGAGCTTAAAGCAAAACGCTGCTCTGTTTATTCCTCACATTTAAGACCCGCGTCTGCACGAGGGCGTCTTCCCTCTCCGCTGATGTCCTGTGACACATCCCATTTACTATCAGCACCAGGCAGCTCATCTGCTGTCAGCAGCGGTTTGATGAAGAGCAAGGATGGTAATTTGCCTTCATTATGAACACATCACTGCGCTGTGAAAAGTGACTTTTGTTTGCCGCAGTCCTGAAAAGAAAAAAACAGCCGGCCTCCATTTCAGCTGCGATTGTGTTGCTCATTTCAAACCCGATGCCGCTCCAGAAATTGAAAAGCAGATCTCCCTTTCACAGTCAATAAAGGAAAATCAATTTTATTTTATTTTTTCATATTAATTCAAATTGCTCATTCCAGATCAAATATGACGATTCATCTCCCTACAAGCACTGGCTTTTTTGGGGTGGTTTGTTTTGTTGCTCTTATGATGGTTGTTGGTTTTTGGGTTGTTCTGTGTTTCAGCCATACGATTCTAATTTTATTTTAAATGGATATTTCTCAACAGTTATGACCGAGCTTTGCATCAGCCTAACTCTTTTACAATGGAAATGATGCGGCGGAGCCATCAGATGAGCATGTGCTGTGAACCGGCCAGTTTGTGGAGCAAAACAGAATGCGGTCCGTTTGGGGCTCAATAAAGAAAAGCCCGCATACGGAGATATGAAGAGTGGAATTAATTATGTTTCAGGAGGAACACACTCCTCAGAAATGCCAGGTGAATCTGAACATGAGAAAAAAAATCGAGAGGCAGAACAGCTACGCAATCCTGTGCTTCTGCAAACAGTAGGCAGCAATTATCTCCCACGTGAGAGGAGATGGCAGCAGGGGGTAAATTGGCCCAGTTCTCCCCACTGATAGACCGTGCGTGACAAAAGACTCCTGAAAATCCGCTTTCAGACTGTCTCGTGTGGAGCCAGCAAACGCAGACGATATTGATAACATATTGATAAGGATGGAGCAACACCATCTTTCCAAACCTCCACGAGCAGCTTTGTAACTCCACATCAACAGAAGGCTGAGTCCAGCTTTCATTAGACCTGCTGCTGCTGTCTGGAACAGTCTGAGATCTCCAGCAAGAGGAGATGAGTGCTCCACCATATGGAAAACAGACACGGCCTTGGATCTGTGACAGTGGATTTGAAAATGGATGACAAATACTGTGTCCCTGCTGGGTGAAATGGGATGGAATCATTTGGAAATATCAGTGCGAGTTTGATGCTATTGAGTCTGTGTGGAAGTCCAATAAAGAAAAAACCAGACCCATCTGTAGTTCCACGTGGCCTGTTATTTGGCAGAGGAATACTGGGGACCTCTTTCCAGGTAGAGATCAAACTTTCAATTTGCACTACGAAGGAAAACGCTAAGATTTTAGCATGGTCAGGCTCAGTCTGATAGGAAACCAGAAGCCACTTCCACGTAAATGTAAGGAGGAAATGTGTTTGGGGTTGAAGAGAGAGCTGGAAGGCTAAGCTTTTAATATACCATGCACAGTATAGTATATATTATACATCCCTTCTGGCCTGGGAGGCCTTGGGATCCCCCAGGAGGAGCTGGGGTGTCGGGGTGTCTCTGCAGACCTGTTGCCTCGACGACCGGACCTGAGGTAAGCAAGTGAAAGTGGATAGATGATGAATGGATGGATGGATCTAGGGACACATTGAGCAATCATAAGGAGCAGCCACTCTAACTAAAACAAAGTTTAAGCTGTTTTGTTGTGGTATATGTTCCCCATTTCCCGTGTCATCCCTTGAGCGTCCTCAGTTTCCCTCCTGTTCAGATCATTACCTCCATCATCCTCATCTGTGATCCCTGTCCTCTGCTGCTTTCACTCATTAATCACTCTTCACTGTTTGTGAGCTCTCTGGTTAGACGTTGGTCAGGTCTTCATCTGTTCTTTTTGTTTTCTTGGCTGTTGTCAGTCAATATTATGTCATCCCCGTGGCCCTTCTTCTCGTCTCCTGAGTTTCTCTACATTCCCCGGTGTTCTCTTTAATTGATTAGTTTAGTTATTTTCAGTATTTTTATTACTTGGTCTAGCCATGCCTTTTGTTATCCTTTTTTTTTTTTTTAAATCTTAGCTCTTGACTTGTTTCCGGGGTTTTGTGTCTGCATCTGGGTCCTATTCCCTGTTACACTCCCCACTGTGACGATAACAAGGCTTTTCTTTTTTCTCCTGCCTCATGATAAAGTGGGGGTGGGGGAGACATCTGTTTTGATAAAGCATTGTGTGTATATACAGTACACTGGCAAACGGTCAGTGAGATTATCTACAACATCCATCATTTCTCAGGCAGTTACTATCTAAATAGATGTTTAGAGGAGCCCCTCTTTAAAGGGAGAACAGCGTCTGTTCTAGGTAGACTTGACCTGTTACGCTGCCTAACCTGTATTCAGGGACATCCTTGTATTTATCAGTCACATAATGAATGTGTTCATCTTCAATTTCCTTTTAGAACAAACTCTCTGTAAATTTGTTTAACAATCCAGTACTGGAATCTCTCAAACACACCTTGGCCGGAGGTTTTTCTGTTGTCTCTCATCTTTGCTTTATTAGCCGTTGACCTTTGGCCACACCGCCTCCATGAACTTCCTGAGGCAGCTTCTCAGGAGACAAAGGCTACAGAATATGTGTGGAAGGTGGCTGTTCCCAAACTTAAAAGACCTACAAGTAAGATTCTGATCAGGTTCATGCATGAGATGAACCAGTCTGCATAAAAACATAACATTAAAAAAAATATTGTCATGAGTCAGTCTGCAAGTATTAAATTTGAATGTAGAGCTTTTTGAATAAATCTGATGCATATCTAAAGATGCATATGGGACATTTTTATTACTTTTTTTAATCTAAGATGTGAAATTGGTTGTCCGGTAAGTGTGGTGAAATAGTACTTGAAAAACACATGAATCCTTTAGTCAGTTTTTGAAATGTGGGACTTTGAAGTGACTAATTTGCTAAGACTGTACATCTGCTTATCCTCCACTGGAACAGTAGAGTCAACCTCGTCTCACACGTGGAGGGTTAGGCTGTTGAAGAGGAGTGCCCAAGTGAACAGTGTAAAATGGTGAGATATAGGACGCTTCTCTGTTGGGAACTGACTGAAGGCGGTTGTAAACCTTTCTGTCGTTCACCTGAAGCCTGTGCTGCAGACCAGGGTTTGTGGTTGGTCAGAACTCAGAGGGAGGCCTGTGCACATCGGATGATGCGCCTCCAGGTTTACACCGATGACAAACAGCCAGTGTCACGCCTCACCCGAGGATCAAATTATAGTTATTTTACCTGTGTTCTGGACCTTTGCAGCTACGACTATTTCCATCTCGTGGTCTTTTCTATCAATTTTTAACACAGTAGTGGAACACTTTGGAAACTGATGTCTATTTCAGGCTGAAAATGTGCAATGCTGGTGCACGTTTAACACATTAGAATTCAGAAAAGTGCTGTCTGTGCGTTTGTCTTGGCCTTTGAGAATTGTTAATAACATGTACAGTACACAGCAACACATTTTCCTAAGTCCCTCTACTGCATATCTTGCTAAATTCAGCAGGTGTTTGAGGAGACGAGTTTTCCTACATAAATCGTATTTAAGGAGCCTACTAACATTTCTCTTCATCTTTAAATACCTCTCCTGATCTATTAAAAAGGATGGCTATCTGCCAGAACCACAACCTGTTGGGAGCGTTATGCTTGACTCCAGCTATACGGATCTAAAGCTGAGAGCAGCGTAGAGTGGATGATTGCGGAAAAAGCTTGAAATATCTTAAATTGACCAAACCGGCTGATTCTGCATAATCTCCCTCCTTACTATTCCGTTCTGCAGCTGCTCTAGCTACATCAGAGGAAAAAGAGGGTCATTTGTGACTTGAGCACATTGAGCATAGGCACTCTGCAGTCTGATGGCTGACCAGCTAACTGGATTTCTCTATGAAATCGACCTTTACTCACTTCTAGAAACCTGTATAAACTGAACACTGAAATTTCAGTGAGTCCTCAAACTGTCTGAAATGTTCTAATGAATTTCAAACCCTTAGTATGAGATGATTTTTACAAAAAAGGGGCCTAGCAATAGCTGTGTATTTAGTCAAGTTCACCAGCACAAATACAATTGACCACTGTGGAAGACTCTCAATGGTTTGCTGCCACCTGGTGGTTTATGAGAAAATTAAACCTTTTTTTTTTAAAGTTTGATTTGGTTTGTTTTTAAAGAAGCCCACAGGACATGTGAATAACACTACTGCAAAATCTAGAACATTTACAAAATAACACATTTCTGCTGGAACAGAGTTATTACATCTAATACTTAAAATCACAGGAAAGTAAGTAGTTTCCTGATGAACATAAATGTGACACTGAAAAAGTGTCAACAAGTTCCTTTGTCGTACCTTTCTTTGACCAAACTGGCAGAATATTTCATGGAGCACAAACCCCAAACATCAACATTCTGAATAACTAAAAAAAGCATGAACTAAAAAGGTACACTTTATTTGAAACCAGCAGGGGACACTTTTGTACAAAAATACACAACTGTTACTTGGTTGCTTCACGTCAGGAACTGTTTGGTTGTGTCCTGCTTACACCACTGATGCTCCTTAGCATGCAGGACCAACGTGGGACAAGCCCTAACTTGCTGAGACATAATTTCACAGAGTAAAATCACAAATCCAACAAGCAACGTCATTTGCCACAGGGAATCCTGGATTCTTGACAAAAATGACAGATCCTTTCTTAGAAATAATCAGGAAGAATGCTGAACATGGGGTGCTCTGAAAACAGTGAGCTGAATTAATCTTGGACTTCATTGTTTAGTTGGGGCTTTTCCGGTTTCATTCGCCTTTTTCTGCTTTTGTTGCATTATCTCAGCATCCCTTGGAAAGAAAATGAGACATTTTAAGAGAGGTGGTTAGTCTAAGTGAGGAATTATTGTGGATATGCATAATATCACTTTTTGCACATAAATAATATAACAACCGTGTCAGGGTGTAAAGTATGTGTGCAATTATGCATTACAATGGCCTAGATCCTATATGCAAGCAGTGTCGTAAACATCCCAAATCTGTGTGCATCCCATTCTTCTTTTTAGATACCTCTGTTTCCGGGCAGCAGCAGAGAGCCCGTCCTCGTTCCTCTTCCCTTTGCCATGTTCATTCTGCTTTTTGGCATGCTTTTGGCGTGCAAGCTCCCGTTGGTTTCCTCCTGCGTGACAACAAAGACCACCACAACGTTAGTAGATGAACAACGCCACAACCGTGGCAAAGAAAACCCACCACAGGTATGGGATGTGCACCCATGAAACACTGAGGAAACCTCCTGTGGTACAATTAAAGTGCACTGAAATGTATTTGTCTGACAAAGCAGTCCGCATCATGCACGGCACAACTCGAACACGGAGAAAAACTTGAGAGCAGCCGACGTGGCAGAGGCGCTGGAGAGCAGCCCGCAGCTCAAGCTAGCGGCACGGAGGGAAGAAAAGCATCCCCCATCTTTGTCGCACCCAGCTGGGCCACTGAGGGTAGGACAGACGCACTTCCACTCACATGAAACGTCTTTCTGGTGTTACGTGCTGTTTGATAAAAACCAAAGTTTAAGTGCAAACACCTGCATTGAGCAAGCAGCAGGCTATGGCTTCAGCTAACGAGCGGAACAAAAACACAACCCACTGACCTGACCATACTGACAAACGTAAGACGCCTCTTATGTAACACATTGACACACAGTGTGGTTCAAGACCACATCATTGACACCTACTATACGCAGTAAAGAGGTTACGGTTGACTAATATCAAGGCGGCAATACAAACGAAAAGACGGCGACAAAACAATACGTTGGTCGAGTTGGGTTCCGTCTATTTGCTGAAACAGACAGAGCCCAGATCGACATTTGCGAAATGACTGAACACAGACAACACACAATCGAGCAAAGTTCAGGAATCCCTTACAATCAACCTATATGTCGATACCCACTGGTCATTTTAGCAGTCGACGGTTCTTTCGCCCAAATCCCAGATATGCTCAGCCAAAGGGCCGCTGGCTCCGTTCTCGTCGCTCCAGTCGCTGTTTTCTGCTGCCGTTGCGCCTCACTGTGGCTGCCAAATATGCGCGAGACTTCCGTACAAGAACCAGAACATTCCGTCTAAACACAGCAGCTGCGCATGCGCAACTAAAGCTCTGATATTTACGGAACTTTAACCGTTTTGATCCAGTTTCAACCGTTATGGTCTTATTTTTAGCACCAGGGAAACACCAAAGGATATTGTGATTTTATTAGAGATCATCGAGGGGGGGTTAAGTCGCCAAGCTATTTGCAATGCCTTGCCCCTGAAATATGTATAAAGTGTTTGTTTTTTGTTTTTTTGTCTCTCAAATGAAAGAAGGCCTTTGCTGAAAATGTATTTATTTATTCTATTTTACTGGATGGACACATTTGCAGTTCCTCTGCAGATGTGAAAGTTGTCTTTGTCCTGTTCTCAAATGCTCATCCTAATTGTCTCAAATCCTGGCTTTAACAATGCACTGACAGCAAACCAGATGCTATTGTTTAATCTAGAGGATTAAATGATCATGCATTCCTCATAAAAAAAATCAGATGTTAATTTGCCAGACCACTGCCAGCAAATGAGAAATGTCTCAGAGAATGAAACAGAGATCTTAATACTTGACAGAATGAATCACGTAATCTAAAATAAATAAATGAGTGTTTACACTGCGATTCACAGCAGTCCAGTTCTGATTTTCAACTTTCACTAAGACAAAGTTGACACCAATCTCGTTTTTTTAAGCTTTTAGCCAGCCAAGTGCAGTGTGGAGGTGTAGTGTTTACAACTGGTGACAATTCCTGAATTTATACCCCATGCAAGTCTTAGGTAAATAAAAAAGCTTAAATAAAGAAAGCCAGCAGGTGGCAGGCTTTGCTTAAATGTGAAAAGGAAGGCACATACTCCTAGGAGTACTCTTCATGCTGGAGAGAGGTATGTTTGTGGATGTGGACAGCTCAACCAGTATGTTTAAAATATTTGTATTATTAAAGTACATATACAAAACAACCAAGCTCACACAGATTTACTAGAATAATCAAAATGATTTCCAACTTGCATCTCAGGAACATATACCCATTTTAATCCACTAAAAAGAGATCCACGACATTTTCACCAGGCCTGATATGGTTTTATTGACTGTCTGGTGGTTAAATAAGCTTGATGACTGAGTCATGTCTGGCCCAATCTGAATGTGCTCTCAGACTCAGAAGCTATGAATAGAAGAGGACGCAGCTCACTGTGTGAAGCTGAACTTTTACATGCATCGTGCTTTGTAGTTTCACTGACAAAACACAGACTTAAATTGTGGAAATAAGTTTTTTTTCAACTGGAACTAAAAAACCAGAGTTTGAATATACGAAAAATAGCGTGTGAAACAAGACTGAAATAGAAATCTTAAAATGTTTTCACAGAGGTAGACGTTTGCTGTAGGAGGAGAGTGAATACAGGGTAGGGTTTCTTGCTGAAAGGTGGATACTGTATTTTAAGGACATAATTGCTGTGTGAATACAATGAGTAATTAAACTGCTCCTGCAATTGTCTAGCCAGTGGTCTATTTGCGTGAAGAGTAAGGTCTCTTTAGAATTTAATTATATGCTGCGAGTTTGCTCATGTGTACAGCTCATTTCTCCACATCAGTTAAACTAAAAAGATAAATAGAACATTTTCCCTGTTTCTCCTGAAAGATTATACAGTAGTTAGAGTATGCTGCCTCAAACATTATTCTACGTCTGTGAGAATGTTCTTGCAGCAACTGGTCGAAGAGCTGTAACACAATGTGTGCACAACATCAATAAAGAGGGATGATTCTTTCTACATTGATTTTTACTGATGACTGCACCATTTGTTTTGTTTTTTTAAAGCTGCCAACAGGTAACACACCAAAATTTCAGAAGGAAGGACTCCAGCTGAGTGGTGGCAGGCACAAGTAGTTTTAAGTTGATGATATGTTTAATTCATCTTTTCATTAAGTAGATAAGCTGAAATACTTGAAAGAACTTGATATTCATGTGCATCCATTGAATTACTGTGACGTACGGAAAGCCGTAAATATAAGTAACATTTGCTTATCACTCCGAAACACATGTTGCAGTGTGTTCTGATGGTAAATGCATTAGCTATACTTGTTTAGTCATAGTTAAAAGAGCAGGGCAAGATTTGGCAATGATATGACGCTACGGGTTTTAAGCACAGAAAGCGCACGCCAAAGTAAATGATTCACACTTTAGGGGTCACATAAACTGAAGCCTAAAGTTTGAGATCAGTGTTATTCAATGAATCCAATCACTCAGGATAATCAGACAAACAAAATCAAATATCTGTCAGAACTACTAAAGGAAGGGTAAAATTGCAAACCTTTCACAAAACAATGTCATGGCATTGATGAGATTTGTTTGAATAGTTGAATAGTTGCTCAACAACTGTTACCGGTAGCTTCTCAGGCAAATAACTTGATTGATTTTCCTGTGTAATGCAAGAACTGAATTGCTTTTTCCTCATTTTCCTGCTCTGGGTGTATGGGGAAGATTAAATTCTGAGACAAAGCCCTTATGGATGGTTCTGTGAAAGTGAATGACTGCAAAGACAGTAAAATGTGGATAAACAGCCTTGGATTGAGCGTGCCGGAGTAAAAAGATTTCAACAGCCTGTAGAACAGCTTGTCAAACACTGTGGTCACTTTATTGGGCTGGTGGCGACACAGCCGCCCAGGATGTCTGCCTTTGACTTGTTTCCCCCCTCAGCTGCGTTTAGTGACAGCATCCTGCCTTAACCAAACTATTTTTATCTTCCAGTGGAATAATGAACTATACACAGCGAACCTCGGCTTCACAGAACCTCCTAATGGTAATGGTGCCCTGGTGTGACTGTTGTTTCTTGCTTGTTAGTCATGTGTCCAGGCCAATCAAAGACAGATGTTTGGTGGGAAAACATTGTTTTCTCTTGAATTTCTCCCCATGTTTAACCGTGGGATTTTACGTAAACAGATAACAGTTTTTTGCTCTCTCCTCTTCAACAGATCCACACCGACTTTCCAACAAGTGATAGATGACTCATGAAATCATGGATTGTGCATAAAGTGATGTGAGGGCATGAAACCATAATTGCTCCTAAAGCATTTCACTGTACGGTCCTAATGCCATCGTGGCACTATTTTGAGGAATCTTTGTTAACACTGATCATGAAGTGTTTCAAGCAGTGAAGTGAGGCGGTATAAACTTGGTGTGACAAGCTCGACGTTTAGTGCGTTTCTCCCTGTCTCATTTCACTGCCATAATCCATCACGCTGCCAGAGTCCCGCCTGCTGTCAGGAATGACAGATGAGTCTTTCCGATTCCATCCTCTGCATCCCTCATCCTCTGATTGTTGGAGGCTAATTTAGACAATAATCTATGAAATAACGTTGTTTGGGCTATAGGGCAAACAGGCATTTTTAAGGCAATTTTGCAACAAAAAAAGCTTCTATGTCCGTTTAATAAATGTACAGTAATCAAGCAAATGAAGTCAATTGAATTTTATTTACATAGTAAACCTCAGCAAAAGTGATCTCCATCTTCTATTTTGAATATTGTAATCACAAATGTTTCTCATATGATTTGAAACCTGACTAAACTTGGTTAAAAGTCATGGTGCAACACTATAATTTCAAATATGGAAGGGAGTAAATGAAAATTGAGAGTATTGATCAAGGTCTAAAACTTTTGAATACTAAAAGGGTCTGTTTTAATTAAGTTGTTTTCTTGCACTTTTACTCTTTAACACATGGTGGGGTGTGTTTTTAAAAACAAGACAGATATAGTTCGGTGTGTTTTAATGATGTGGAAATTTGCCAATGGCTTTAAACTTAAGCTTTAACCTTTTTCAATGAGACGTGAATATCTGTATCACATTTCCAGCCGATGCAAAAACTTCTCACAGACTGGATTTTTCTTAAGGCTCTGACTGTAATTAGGGAACCTGCAGCTCCCATGGCTTACATTACTAAGTAATGCATTATCTTCTGCACCCTTTTTCACAGAACATGAAGGTTTCAATATCAACAAAGTTTGCATTGTGGAAAAGAACAATGAAGAGCATCAATGCATCCCCCAGTAAACGGGTTATTGACGGCAGAGATGAGTTTCTGTTGATATCCTCCTCATCTTTTCCCTTTCTTTCTTGCCTTTGAAATACCACCAACATTAGCATTTGAACAGTAAAATCTTAGTAAGCCCACAAAAAATCCAGAGGATTCATGTCTTTTGCTATGGTTATTTAGCCAAACAAAAAGATCCTCCTCCTATCTTTTGCATGTCCTTTTGACAGTTTGACAGACTCAGAAGCCTTTTATCTGAACTCTAAATGTATTGCCGGAGGGGAAATAGTATGTGGTCAAAAGAGGGCATGCGATTCTGCAGATAATATCTCAAAGATTACAA